ACTAACTTCTAAATTGGTAGTGCTGTCACTAATCGGTTGGGCTATCAACTTTCTTTAAATTAATTAATTATTTAACACAGGAAGTATATGGAGTTTCATCTCTCTCTCTCTCTAATCTGTGGCTGGCCTTTGCCGAATAGCTTGTTCGGCAACAGAATTATGCAGCAACTGGGAAAAATATGGGATTCAAAATTTTGTTCATAAACCAAATTGTTTGAAACACAAGGTGTTCAAAACCCAAAGTTTGACAGTACTGCAATACCATTAATCAAATAATAAATCCAAATTCATTATTAGACTACCTTTTAGCAAGAAAAATTTTTATTTATAGTTACATTTAGTTACTTGCGTTATTTTTTTCAATTTGCTTTAGTTGTTTTGAGTTTTCAGGACTGAATTACATTAAAACTCAACTGTTACCTCAACACTTCCCAGCTGGTATTGTACTGTACATCATTTGAATAATCTCATACTAACATTTGCATTATGAATGAAGTTGTATTCCACTAATTTAGGGTTTAAAATGATTAAAATATTAAATAATATTCCACTCTATTTTGTAAGTAGAGACCCAAGCAAAATTATTATTTTTTATCAGCATCTTAATCAGCAATATATGAAAGACTATTGTCAAACTAGCATTTTTTTTTATTGGTCAGTGTATAGCTGTTGAATTGCAAATGAATTAATTGCAAGGTGCTGATTAAGGGTTTTCCATCTGACATTCTTTTCCATGATCAGGTTAATTGTTTGAGACTTTAATTTTGTAAGTTGTACTAATGATCAATTTTATTGTGGTAATTACTAAACTTAGATTTGTGACATTTGAATTTTATACTAATTATTATTATTGTAATACAATATTTTAGTCAAAAAGGTATACTGGCATTTATAGTTTAATAGTTTTTGCTATTAAACTACATCGGTCCTACCATTGGACTACTCATCGTATGGCTAGTAATCAGACACGAGGAATTTTAATATTACTTATATTATAAATCTCAATGGAATAGAAACTGGATGGATAAAATGGATGATGATATAAGGCAAACAACAAGGATTAATCGCAATTGGAAGAAAGATAACATTATTAGGTATGCTACTTGGAATGTTCGAGGCATTAATGAGAAAGAGGAAGAATTAGACGATCTATTCCAGAATGGAAAAATTGACATAGCTATCACTTCAGAAACAAAGAAGAAACTAAAGGGAACAAAAGAAGCTAAAAATTATACACTTATTTATAGTAGAGTGAATAAGAAAACTCATGCCCAAGCAGGTATAATGATTTGGGTACATAAATCTCTTAAGAAAAATATCCTTCATTACACATACTGTACAGAGAGAATCATAGAAATCCACTTAAAAATTAACAGAGATAATTTAACCATTATTGGTACAGTACATATGCTCCTGAAGAAGGCTGAGAAGAAAAAAGCAAAGACTTCTATATAAAGTTGCAAGAAATTCTTAATAAAGTTAACAAGAACAATTGCAACATAATAGCAGGAGATCTGAATGCAAGAGTGGGAAACACTCCAGTAAATAAAAATATTGGAACCTTCGGAGAGAATGTTTGTAACAGAAATGGTATTAGACTCATTGGTTTTGTTGTTTATAATAATCTTAAAATAATGAATACATTTTATAATCATAAAAATATACATAAATATACTTGGCAACAACAGCAGTCCAAGTCAATCATTCATTATTTTATTGCTAATGAAAAAATATCAAAATGATTCCTAGATGTCAGATCATACAGAGGATATGAAATAGGCTCTGATCACTTCTTAACCCAAGCAAAATTTAGCCACCTTGGTGGGATTCTTAGAAAAGAAACCAAATGTTAGACATGAACCTGAACAAAAATTTAAAGTAAAATTATTATATGATGATAGTATCAAATGGTTATATACTAGAAGAATTGAACAACATATGGAGAGAATTCCAGAAGACAGATATAGAAAATGAATGGGAAAATATCAAAACAATAATGAGTTTCTGGGCACAGTAAAAGTCAATTCCTGTGGAAGAAGAAAATTGAAAATATGGGACAATAAAATCAAACAACTAATATTACAGAAAAACACAGCATTTAAAAATTTTTAAATAGTAAAATACTGAAGATGCACTAGAATACAAACACTGCAGAGCAATTGCAAAAAGAGAAATTAGGAAAAGACAACATGGACAAAATTTATTTCACAACTAGAATCAGATCTTTACAAAATAAGACCAAATGCCTTCAAAATATTAAAATTTATGAATCAAGAAATTTAACAACGACCAGTTTCTTAATTATTATCAAACACTTTGAATAGATCTTACATATACTAACAAGATTTTTGAAAGCAACAATCAAAATAGAACTGAATTATCAAAGGAAGAACTGTTTGAAAGTTTAACCAAAACAAAAAATTGAATAGCAACAGGAGATGATGTCATAAATGGAGAGTTATACAAATATGCTGGTGATAAATTCCACAACATTATTCAATAATATATATGAACCAGCCTGTATACTGCTTGAATGGAAGAAAAGTATTGTACTGCCTATTCATAAAAAAGAAGATAAACGAGAATTAGATAACTACAAAGGCATTAGCCTGCTAAATACCTGTTATAAAATCTATGCTAGAATTCTAAATAAACGATTGAAACAAGAAGGCAAAAAATTTCTTTTGGAATATCAAAACGAATTCCAAAAAGGCAGATCTTGTATAGATTCAGTTTTCCCCATTAAATTATTACTAAAGAAACAAAGAATTTAATCTGAATACACATTTAGTTTTCATAGATTATACCAAAGCTTTTGATATGATAAAAAAACCCAAAATTTTTGACATCCTACAAAACAGAAACATACCAAATATTTTACTCCAAAATATATGTAATATTTATGAAAATAATACCATACAACTTAAGTTCAACAATGCCACTTCAGAATATAGAATAATAAATCAAGGAGTAAGACAAGGATGTCCATTGTCACCAACACTTTTTAACATCTATATAGATAACATAATACATCAATGGCAAGAAGAATATACATTAGGAATTCAACTTCCAAACAATATAAAATTCAATACCATGCTATTTGCCAATGATCAGGTGGTAATTGCTAACTCTGAAGATAATTTGCAAAAAGGTTTATTTACCTTAAATAAAATTTCAAAAGAATACGGCATGAAAATTTCAAATTTTAAAACAACACCTTGTACAAAAACATTCCAGACTTAAATTATATAAAATTCCAACTCTTCCAACTCTCCTGTATGGAAGTGAAATCTGGGTCCTAAAGAAGAAAAATATCAAAAGATTACAGGCAGCTGAAATGAGGTTTATGCGTCAAACTGCTGGATATACATATGCTCCTGGATCATCGTCAAAATGAGGATATTTTGGAGGAACTCCACATGCAGCTATTAATTGAAAAACTCTCCACATATAAAGAAAAATGGCTTCAACATGTATCTTGAATGTTGCCAGGTAGATACCTCAGGCAGTTTTACAGTATCAACCACGAGGATGACGACAACCTGGATGTCCACAAAAATGACTCCTAGACCCTGTCTAGCTGAGACCAAAATGGGTCAACATGGCCTAAATTCATGAATGGTGTGTGATTATAATGATGATGATGATAGTTTTTGATATTTTTTTACACATTAGTGCAAGGATTGTTTCTTTGACATTTTGCATCTTAGCTTTATCATTTGATTATTAATATAAGTTGGACTAAGTATTCCATATGTTTATTGTAATACCTAGACATAATATTATGCAACTAATGCAGTCATAAAGAAAAACAAAGTACACACTTCATAAAATTTCTTAACAGTAATTCAGAGATCAGCTCAACAACAATGCTGAAGAAGTTGCACTTGACTGCAAGATTTAACTGAACAATAAAGCAGCAACCAATAAAAAAATCAAAGTTTATAATTAATGTGAAAAAAATGAAAACATTAATTCTATTTTATACCAAAAATCATATAACCAATTATTTTTGTAAAAATCAGAATTTGAAAGTTATGATTTGACATATTCTGTAAATTGAGAGGGGGAAGAATTCAATAACCTAAACTCCTTTGAGAGGATAGGTCAGCAACTGGGAGTGAAATAAACAAAAAGGAGAATATTCAAAGTCCTGGCATTTGTGATTTTGCCCAAGGTTCAGCACACTGCCCAACAGATCATCTCATGCTCATCACCCACTGAAGGAAGAAAAAAAACAAATAAGGATTATCTTGTTGAAATTTCAAAATCAGGCATTTTAAAAATTGATATGAGTTGAAAGAGATTCAGAAGCAAATCATGATCATGACAGCATAAGTCCTTGTTTAAAATTATGAATGCATATCAGCATAAATTGTTAAACTAAGCTAAGTGTTAAAGAAACCTGCCATCCTGTCTCCTCTTGAGAAACAGTCATGCACTTGCCCAAAAGAAACCTCAACATTCATGACCCAATCCAATAACCTTTACATATATAGATCAGATGTAGTATCTATGTGAGGTTATTTTCTTCAAAACTAATTTAATAAGATCTACATTTAGTCTCAGGTTAATTTTAAAGACAACAACATAGATACATAGCCTAAGTTTGTCAAATTCCCAAAAATTGACTGGTGTCAATCATCCTAGCATAATTATCAGGCTAATTGGACTCAGTATATAGCAACCACATAAATCTTACATCTAAAAATGTTTGGATACAATATAATTTTATAGTTTTACATTTTTGAATAAAAGTAGCAACTAAGCATTAATATTAAATTGTATTAATACCTAATTAAAAGAGCATTTTTCTGACTTATAAATCAAGAAATTAAGGGACTTTTAAGAATTAACAGTAACAACTGAATTTATAAAATATAAACTAATATATTAATAGAAAACAAATCATATATATATAATTATTTAGAATTAAATTAATTAAAAATATATACAACACTACAATTACCTAATAATGAAAAAAACTTACTACTACTTACTTTTATTTCAATATAATCATCTCCCAATTTTGGAATTTTAGAATGACTTGGCCCAGAATAGGAATAGGATGTTAGACTGGTTTTACTATAAGCTAAAATTGATAAAAATAACAATTAAAAATAAATATTGATTTAAATAACATTTAAAATTGATTTTTAAGTTAAATTGGATAAACAATTTTAAGTTGCATAAGAACATTCCATGACCTGAAATTGAAGATTTAACAATTTTATAGAACAGAATTTGAGTTAATTAATAAAAGGAATGAAGGATTTTAAAATTCAGTAATGATATGTCTATAGTCGAAACCTAAAACAACCTAAATATTTAATAATATAAAGTTAAATGAATATATCATCATAAAAGTCATAAATGAGGAAAACAATTTTAACTGTTTATATATAATTTTTTTATATAATATAATAATATGCATTCAAGATTCAAATCTTTTTATTCTCCTCTTTCACGTTTACTATTATTTTCTAATTAAAAGCAATTTGCATTAAAACAGCAGACAAAAATTTATACCACAGTTGAACCTGTATATATCATACATGTTTATGTTTAAATTTATTTATTTTCCCTGTATTTTCAGCCTAAATTTAACATATTTTCCACATTTATCTTATATTTTCACCCAAAACCTCTTTACCTCAAATTATAAACCAAAATGTCAATTACAAATTGAAAGCTCGGTGACTATATTTTAATAGCATAAATTGTACTTGAGAATCATCTCTTGCAATATAGTACATAGTTGCAATTAACACTGCTTTTCTCTGGCTGCGAGTTTGACTTGCATCATATAGGTTAAAGAAAGTCAGGTATCAGATTCTATTGACAAACTATTTCTGTTAATGTATATCAAACATGTTCTATTTATATCTAATACAGATACACACTGTACATGCTATTGTATTAATACAATACCATACCTCCAATAAAACCTATTACTGTTTACTGTATCTTGAAACCTGTCTATCTGAAAATGTTTTCTTGTTCCCATGAGATTGAAGATAGGTTCAACTGTATTTCTCTCTTTGTATATTATATGTATTTCTATTCTAAATATGTAGAATATAAAAAACATTTTTAAAATATTGAATTTTTAAAATGTTTTTTATTTTTTTTAAATGTAATTGTTGAACATATTACATTTTAAAAGGATAGACAAAACAGTCCAAGTAAACATATTTAAGAGCAAAGCATTCTTGAGTTGTGTGTGTGTGAAGTTTTAACAAAGGCTAAATTTTAGAAATAAACAGACTTTTGTGATTTAGTTTATTGGCATAATGTCAATTATAATTATTTCATATTATAAAAATATATAAAATTGATTTTAAACAATTCCATTTAAAACAATAATATTAAAATAAGTAAATACCAGAATTAATGTCAAATAAATAAATACAAACCTCTCTTTAAATTTCTTCGCTGTTTATTATGCTGGGTTTCTTCTGAGTTTTTATCTCTAACAGGACATGCACATATTCTTACATTTAAGACTTTACGACCAAGTAGGTCACCACTAAAATAAATAAATTATCTAAGTCTGAATATCTACTATTAATTTAAACATATTTAACATACATATTTTAAATAATACTAACTCTTTCTCTAATGTAAAAATTGCTTGAGTAGCTCTTCGATTAAGTCCTCCTGTGCAACTACTACGGCACATAAATCTGTATATGTATACAGTGAAATCTGTTCCAACTATATTAAATGAAATATCAATAATTATTCAAAAATCGGCACAGGATCTAACTTTAAATAAATAATAGAGACTAAGTAAAAAACATCTAAAACCATAAAAATTTTATATTAATCATATTCAAACTTTTACAAGATCTCATTTGATACTTCTGATAAATTTTATTTTATTCTATTAAAAGAGATTATTGTTTAATTAAAAGTATTCGCTATAGTGTAGATCAGTGCTATTCAATCTATGATCAGTAGATCAGTGCTATTCAATCTATTCAATCTAATTTTCCGCAACCCCATTTGGGGTTGCGGAAAATTAGATTGAATAGATTGAACAGCACTGATTTGACAAATTACCTTGGGGTCGCACTGTTAAAATGTTTGAATACCATTGGTGTAGATGATTCTAGATAATAATAAAATTATTAAATTTATAATCAATAGTGTTTCATTTTTTAAAATTCAAACTCAATTTTAAACTCCACTCTTTCTTCTTACTAAATTTAAAGCAATTTTTCTCCAAAAACTCAGAATATAGTTAATTCAAGATGCCTTTTGTCACAATCTCAGATATGCTCAACAATATATTAATTACTGCCTCTGATTCCCCAGGCTTTCAAACAAAATTTAAAAAATTAGCTCTGTATGTATATATAATGAAAGCTATCATTTTAAAGAATCTAAAAAACTTAATTGTTAATTATTTGAAATATTTTACCATTAAATCCAAGTAATTTTAAGGTCTTCATTGATTATAGTCAGTCTGTGGAAAGAATCAACTTGATAGCATAATGTTGTTTCAGTTAAAACAATAAGCACATTTCCTAATGATATAAGCACTTTTCACTTAACTTGTCCTACATTGTTCCCGAAAATATTCATGTTGACCTCATTGGCCTGCGTGGGTGATCCCAAATATTTTCGTGTTTACAACAGAACGTTTTTGATACTAGATGTCACTATGCGTCACAATTTTTATATTAAAATGAACATTTACAATATAATATTTTTTGTTTCTATATTATTCAATATATTTATTTTGTTTGTGAAACATAAAAAAAATAATTTTTTATGATACAGTAAACATGATTATTATTAAAAAAAAATTTAAGCTTAACATCGATGAAGATTCAACATGGCGTCATAGGCAACAAATAAAAATTTCAACATCGAATAGGTTAATATGTCAGGCAATATGTAAATTTTATTTCCTGTCATTAGATGGCAGAATAACTTCCATTAACTGTATTAATTTTTTTGCAGCATGCATTAACTACAAACAACCATGCATTTAACAACAGCTATAGCAAACTTCCCTGTATTCCACTACTAGTATTTCAGTATGTGAAGCTTCCTTAACACTGTTTATAATGGCTCTCATCTCATGGTGCCATATCAAGTTTTTCCCGACCTCGGCCACACCTGGCGCAGATTAGTAAGTAGTTAGTAAATACGCCAAGGCGTTACTAGGGAAAGTTAGTATCCAGAGTCGTTTCCCGTTGACTTCTCTGGGGCGTTTATAATGGCAGCAACACATATAACAAATGAGGAAAAAATGGGAAATAACTTGCCATAACTAAGTGATCAATGACTGACTCTCATTGGTTATACCTAATTTATAATAATACAGAAGTTAATTCTTTCCATAGACAGACTATATTCTAGGAATTAATGCATTCACAACCTTATATTATCTTTAATTTTATATACCTTTCTTATTTTACATTACTAATGCTTTGAGCTTAGATATATATAATTCTTGTATAAACACTTATATGCTACGGTAATTACTCTAACTTGGTTTATGAACAGGTTCATCACCAATTTCCTGGCAGCTGTTTTAATCCAGAATGAAAAAAAACTTAAAATTTTTGCAACCACCAAACTTGTTCACTAAATGGTTTAGATGGTATTGCATGTAGCACATTCATTACATTGTAAATGTTAATGATCTCTCCATTCTATGCAATTTTTAACTCATTTTACTTGTCTTTAATAACAACTAAAGCTTCTGAAAATGATGCAGGTATCTATTATATCAAACTTAAACACTAGTCCATATTTAATGCATGTTTATTGAAGTTTCTAGCAGTCCATGGAGTTCTAAAGACATGGCAAGCATATAATTAATAGTTCTAAATAACTGTTGCATTGTATTGCCTTCAGTTAGTTTAGCAAAATTGTTAATCCAATAATGTTTTGGAAGCAAGGATATCAGAAAATCAGTGGTTGACCTGTATTGTTAGAACTAATCTAAGTATAAATATATGACAAACTATGTACTATAAAACTTCTCTAGCTCGGAACTTGAAGGGCAGGAAAAACTACAAGTTACAGACTATTTGAGTTAGAGAATAATAGAGTAAAAAAAATAAAAATGCAGATTCTGAATAGATTCCTACTTTTAGCTCTGTTACATTATATAAAGAATCTTCGATAGTTTTTTTTTTTTGTTTTAAACAGCCTGTGTAACACCTTTCAGCAAACTGTTCAATATAACTAATGAAATTGAACAATTTTACAGGTACTGTACATCTTGTTGAGTTAAAGCGAGAATACTGCTCACTTTAGACTGGAATGTTGTCTGAAAATTGGTGTTAAAGAGTAGATACAACTAACTAACTGTCTTAAAATTTTGTGGAAATCCAATAATTAGGATCACTTTAGAAAGAATAAATATTAAAATTCAACTCAGTGAAATTGAAAGTAACAGAAATCAGTGTCAGGAACCATGAAAAATTTCAACTTGGAGATGTTAAATCCCTGTGCTATTCATTGAGACTTACCAAATGCTTTGGTTTCTTTGAAATACAGAAGTTTTACTGTATTTAATCAACATTCTCTCACAAATGCAGTGTGCTTCAAGAAGAGAATATATCAAATTTCCTTATAGTCAAATCATTATTGAGCAAACACACACAAAATGTTTCATGTTATTAACAGAATTTTTCAGGAGACTTCTCAAACATTTGTAACTTTCCCAATGTACTAATCAATAAATTCAACAATAAAATTGATAAAAGCTGCAAGCTTCGTACAATTTTGTTTCTATGCAAAAATAATGATCAATTAACTATTTCCATGAACTACAATTTCCCTTAATATCTAATTATCAGTAAAATTTTTTATACTCTTAATAAATAATTGTTTTTCATCAAACAGAATTTGTACAAGCAATATATATTATACAACCATATTCTCAATATTAACATGTTCCATCAAATTTTTGTAGTAATGCACATCCAAGCTATTCAAATTATCTTTTTATACACTTTTGTTTCCTTAATGACAAATTTCAGGTATTTTTATGCTAATGTTTTAGCTTTGTTAACTAGCATCCATCCAGAAATTAGACTGAACTGGATGCATCCAGTTCAGTCTAATTTCTGGATGGATGCTAGTTAACAAAGCTAAAACATTAGCATAAAAATACCTGAAATTTGTCATTAAGGAAACAAAAGTGTATAAAAAGATAATTTGAATAGCTTGGATGTGCATTACTACAAAAATTTGATGGAACATGTTAATATTGAGAATATGGTTGTATAATATATATTGCTTGTACAAATTCTGTTTGATGAAAAACAATTATTTATTAAGAGTATAAAAAATTTTACTGATAATTAGATATTAAGGGAAATTGTAGTTCATGGAAATAGTTAATTGATCATTATTTTTGCATAGAAACAAAATTGTACGAAGCTTGCAGCTTTTATCAATTTTATTGTTGAATTTATTGATTAGTACATTGGGAAAGTTACAAATGTTTGAGAAGTCTCCTGAAAAATTCTGTTAATAACATGAAACATTTTGTGTGTGTTTGCTCAATAATGATTTGACTATAAGGAAATTTGATATATTCTCTTCTTGAAGCACACTGCATTTGTGAGAGAATGTTGATTAAATACAGTAAAACTTCTGTATTTCAAAGAAACCAAAGCATTTGGTAAGTCTCAATGAATAGCACAGGGATTTAACATCTCCAAGTTGAAATTTTTCATGGTTCCTGACACTGATTTCTGTTACTTTCAATTTCACTGAGTTGAATTTTAATATTTATTCTTTCTAAAGTGATCCTAATTATTGGATTTCCACAAAATTTTAAGACAGTTAGTTAGTTGTATCTACTCTTTAACACCAATTTTCAGACAACATTCCAGTCTAAAGTGAGCAGTATTCTCGCTTTAACTCAACAAGATGTACAGTACCTGTAAAATTGTTCAATTTCATTAGTTATATTGAACAGTTTGCTGAAAGGTGTTACACAGGCTGTTTAAAACAAAAAAAAAAAACTATCGAAGATTCTTTATATAATGTAACAGAGCTAAAAGTAGGAATCTATTCAGAATCTGCATTTTTATTTTTTTTACTCTATTATTCTCTAACTCAAATAGTCTGTAACTTGTAGTTTTTCCTGCCCTTCAAGTTCCGAGCTAGNTATACGCTGGAAGAGGAGATCGGATCGGAGGTCCGGATAGCGTAACTGGCAACGCATCTGCACGGTAAGCAGGAGTTGTGGGTTCGAGTCCCGCTCCGGGCCGATTTTTTCTCCCAGCGGTTCTAAATTATTTAAATTAATTAATTTATTTATAATTATTAATATTAATAAGAGATGGCGCCTAACGCTTACCTCTAGTGCCAAATTAATTACGTAATTTATTTAGTAATTAGCCTTAAAACTAGCCCGATGGATTTACGGCATATGTTTGGTGATTATCGTTCCAAACTTTTATTTGACCATTTTGACTTCGGTAAATTTTTTAAAACACTATTGGATGTTTTCTATGACATCAGCAGGTTTTTTGTTTTTTATTCAGTAGAATTTTTTCCCCATACCTTTTTTTCCGTCTCCCCATATTTTAATAGCATAAAAATCAAAAATATTGTGTTATATTTGAACAGATGTGGTAATTTAGCTCCCCTCCTGCTTCATATCAATATTCCCGAGATGTACATGAGAACTACCCAGGAAAGCTGACACAAGCTGTTCTCAAGGTCAACAAGTTTGTAAACAATGTAGACTGCACATGTAAAATTTCACGCCTTGTTAAATGAATGAATAACAATCTTTGCATCTATATTTTTCAAATAAAAAGCATTTATTTTAAATTATTTAAATTTTTTTAATATACTTTTTGTTAAAAAACACTTTTTGGAGGAGTTTTTATTTTGCAGGAATTATTTCCTGGCAATTTTTTTTTGGATGTTAGATTCGCATTTAAGTGGAAATAATTATTTCATATAAAAAATAAATTTTTTGTGGATTTTTGAGTGGCATTCAAATCAAAACAAATGTAGCAAATGAGGTAATCATACCCATCATAGATTCAACCAAATTCACAAAGGGAATGGCCAGGTAGTGACGTAGAAACATCTACGACAGATCACCCACTAATAAATTCCTGGGGTTGCTGCTCATTTAAATCTGATTCTGAATTCCTTGAGCAGTAGGCTTATGCCTTGCTAATGGTTCTAATGAGATTCTGACAATATACAGATTTGTTATATCAATAATAAAATTATGTTTAAGGAAGATTGGCTTGGACCTTCTCTACTGATCATTGTATTGTGGCAAGTCAACATGTTGAAGTTTACTATAAAATGATGTCTACTGTACATTATTATTTATTCTAAATAGAAATTATTTAAATTATAAAATGTAATGATACCTTGAGGGTTTTCATATGGAACAACAACACTCTGCCTTCCAGTGACAGGATCATCTACATATTGTGCAAATTCATGATCACATCGAATCAAATGTTGTGGTGCTGGATGTCCTGAAATAAACATCAATAAAATCTTTTATAACTGTTAATTACAAAACGTTTAAAATTTTAATTTATTAAAAATAATTACCATCGTTATTACTATTTGTGGGTGCAGAATGAATTAAACAACGCTTGACTACTTTTGTTAAGAATTCTGGTTTGCTAAATATAGGCATTACACGAATTTTTGATCCATCTGGTGGTGGATTTTTCAGTTTAACTCTCAATGAACATGCCACATTCATATCAACAAACAGTTTATCTTTAACTTCAGAGTACTAAATAAAAGAAATATATAAGTTTAAATAAATTTATTAAATTATTTAAAATGTTTAAAAAGTTTTATAACAATATACAACTTGATTAAGAATTGTTATAAATTGATTAAGAATGTTATATAACATTCTTAATCAATTTTTTTGTACATAATTCAACACAGTTTATAAGGGAGCTTACTTAATTCCTTTATTTTATTTAAGTACAACTAATTTTGATAAATTATGTACAACTAGTTCTGACAAACTCTCAAAATTATATGCTTCAAAATATTTAAGCATTTACATATATATACAAAAAAAATTTATTTCACAATTTCAAATTTCATATTATTGGATTGTTCGGAAAGTAAGTTTCTCTTTTTTACCATTAGACGGATTAGTCATATTTTTCCTGCCATTTTCATTCTAAACAGTATTATCATTATATATTTTGACAAAGATTATCTGTAAAAAGATTTGTTTGATTTTGTGGAATTGTTTTTTTTTTTTTTTTTTTTTTTGTGTCCCATCAAATATGAAAGATTGAAAGCAGCATTTTCAGCATATTTTGCTCTTTTATTACTGAAAAGGTAAGAATGCTGTTCAAGTGAAAAAAAAAATTGTGTGATGTGGATGGAAAAGATGTATTGGCAGGACGACACTGCCAAAACTGGTTTACAAAATTTCATTCCGGCAATTTCAATATTGAAGATGTACCATGTTCTGGATGGCCAGTTTAAGCCAATGAAAACAAAATAAACGTACTGATTGAAGCAAACTGCCAAATAACAACATGTGAAATCACTAAGAGATTAAATTTGTCAAATTGAACTGTTTATGAGTACTTGAAACAAATTGGTTTTGCTTCAAAACTTGATATATGGGTTCCACATATTCTTAAAGAGAAATGCTCTATTTGGTGGGATATTAAGGAAATTTTTTTTACCAGACAATTTAACAATTGATTCGAAAGTGTACCGCCATCGAGTAAACAAATTGAGTAATATCATCAAACAGAAAAGGCGGCCAGAATTGATCAACAAAACAGGTATAGTGTTTTACCACAATAATGTCAAATTTCACACAAGTTTGGTAACTTGTGTGAAATTTGACATTATATAACTTAGATGTTACAGAAACTGTTATAACTTAGATGGGACGTGCTATCACACCAACCATATTCACCAGATTGAGCACACTCAGATTATTACTTGTTCCGGTCTATACAAATTTTTCTTTAACTGTAAGACATTTTACTTGAAATGACAATGTCAAAAATCACTTGGATCAGTTTTTTGTAAGCAACAATCAAAACTCTTATGAATGTAAAATCATGCTACTACCAGAAATGATAAAAACAGGTATTTGACCAAAACGGTCGATATATAATTCAATAAAATATTTATTTATTATAAAAATATTGTGTTTTTTCCACAGAAAAAAAACAAACTTACTTTCCAAACAACCCAATATTTAATAAATGTAGCTGTAAAGCAAGTGTCAAAAATACAGACCATCCATTCTCGTATGACCACTGGTATTTTGACATACCTGAGTGCCCAAAAATCTGTTCTTATTAGCAATTTTTTTTTATTTTTGTTTTGTTACTTTTCAACTAAAAACGAATTGAATACTAACTGCCAAGAACATATAAATAGCAAAGACTGTAATAAATTATTTCAATATAGACTTTTACTTTAAATTCATATGTCAAACATTTACATTATTACTACATTGTTTTTGTATCAGCAGTATGATGTAGTATCAGTTTCAGTATCAGTTTGCACATGTTGTATTTTATGTTATAAAAATGTCTGTTATAAATTTATGCATAATGTACCAGTATAAGCATAAACTTCTAACAAAACTTTTCTTATTTTATAAAAATTGTGGAACCAATAATATTTGATCCTTTACTGATATCAATGTATCATCTTCATTATGCACACCCACATAAGAATGTGCTTGGTATTTGTTGCCATACTGTTTTTGCTTCAGTACATGTATTTGCAATCTTACTTCTAGTTATTGTCTGTTTATTATTTAATTGTTAATGTAACAACATAATCTTCAATATCTCTGCAAGAAAACAATGCAAGAGCTCCTATGGCATGTATATTATATTTTTACATCATATCAGGCTTGGATGTGCAAATGCCATCTAATGTGTGTTTATAATTATAATGTTCATAAATATAATATAAAATACTTCATATAAAACTATTATGCATATGCTGTCTTATCTTACAAAATGTGAGTGAACTGTAAGTTGATTTATTTTTAAATTGTAAAGTACCTTTCAACTGTTTATATTTGTTTTTAAATTTTTTCCATTTATTTATTTTTTAAATATTTATGTTCTTAAAATTCAAATGTTTTGAATCCATTCTTTGGTTTCACACAGCTTTAGAACACCAATGCAAACATACATTTGATTTAAATAACTATCATATGAGAACTGAAGGTGAAATTTAACATCTTGAAAAACATTTTCTCTAAAAAAATTAATTCCCTAACTGATTTAGTACTCTTATTTTGCATATTGAATGCTTTAAATTAAAAAAAAAAAAAATATGTTAATTATGAATCATACAAAAATTATTTTGCATAGTAAATAATTAACAATCAAAAGTATCTCTGAAATTCACAAAAATCATCTTGGTATAATGTTTTGAAACAATGTTTAAATGAAATTAATTAATTTGTATTAAATATAAGCACAAATATAATAAAGTTAACAGTGTTATAATATATAAATCCTATTTTCTAATACTATATAAATCATATAAGAACAATTTAAGAATATTAAGAGAAAATACTTACAACACAGTTACTATTTTTGTTCTCTTCAGACTGAAATGAAATATCAAATCCATATGGTCCTTCCCAATTAGTGCTGGTAATTGAATAGAAAGGAGAAAAATTTAATCTTCATAAAATTTGAAATAAAAGTGTGATAATTTAAGTTATATACAGTTAACCTATCCCATGTTGAAATTTTTTCCATTGCATGTCGCTCCACATTGAATTTTGTCAATGTTAAGCCTAACAAAATTTCCACGTTTCAGAAAAAAAAAATAATAATAATAATCTTGGCTATTGTATCATCCAAAATTATTTGTTTTTATTTTGCACAAACAAAACAGACATATTAATAAATGAAAAAAACAAAAAAATTTATATTTTGGAAGTTAGTTTTAATATAAAAATTATGCCAACTAGCAACATCTAGGGTCAAAAATGTCCTGATGCAGAAACAAGATATTGTGGGTTCACAGATCAAGGTTTCAACCCAAGATATGTCGGGAATACCAAGGAATAGGTTAAAACAAACCAAATAAAGTTAATTCTCACATTAAAACAAATTTTGCTGTTGCCCTGGCAAAACACAATCATCCCAGGGTTAATTTTTATGCAATAGAGTGAACAAAACTTTTATCAGACTTTGTTAAACTGAACTGTAAATTACTTTTATAACCCCTAAGAAACAACTATTTCCAATAATGGTTGCTTTTTACACTTTTCAATGTAAGCAATAAAAAGTGGAAGTGTAATAAATGTTCCATTTTGATTACAATACATTTTCTTCTCCTAGTAAGCAAAGATGGGTTCACCTCTGATAGTATGCAAAAAATGTATTAACACCACTCCTCTAACAAAACATTATAAGCAAATTCACATACCACATATCACTGACAAATAATAAACCTCCAATTGTAGAACAATTGAAATGTTTGGTTTTAGCAGATCATTCTATTGTACTAAGAGAATAAAGTTAAGTTTAAGGCTGACCACCTATTTAAATGAATATGGTCCCATGCAAACATGCGAGCTTGCATATAGTGCTTTGAAAATAATTTAGAACAATTTCATTGGATGGCAATTTTACAAAAATTGGCAAATTTAATCTTCATAAAATTTTGGATGACAATTATAAAAATTTTCATCCAACAAAATTCTACAATTGAAACTTTTGCAAAGATTTGTCATCAGGGGAGGCTACAAAACTCTACATTTACCAACACATTTTCCTCAGTATATATAAAGCCTGAAAATTCCCAAGTAGTAAAAATGGAAAGAAAAATGAAAATGTCTGTACGATCAGCCAGTTCCAATTTTAACTTTGTAATTTTAACTGGATATTTTTCGGTGTTTTTTAACTCCTTAGTCTCCATTGACGTATATATACGTCAAGCCTACATAGCGTTACGAAAAACGTGGTCCTTAAGGCCATTTTTGAAAAAAAAATTTTTTTTTTTGAATTTTTGAAATGTTTTTTAGGTCCCCAAATTTTTTCAAAATTTTTTGCCCGCGCGAAAAAATTTTATCGCGATTTTAATTAGCCTTTAATAAGGCTCAATTAAGGCTCAGTTGTTTTTTAATGGAAGTTTTTTATCAAATTTATTTCATGGTTCCTAAGTTGTAGTGCACGGATATTCATTCGGTAAAGTTATTTAAAGTTAGTTTCTGATGTCAAAAACGACCTCCAATGGTTTTTTAATTTTTTTAATATAAAATTAATTAATTAGGAGGGGTCAGAAATCGCAATAAAAGTTTGAATTTTTTTAAAATATTTAAAAATTTCCGTGTCGCTTATATTCACCCTACTTTAAACCCTTGTCCTCCCGAGACGTCTGAGAATGTCCCGGGAAATCTGACTCCAGCTGTGTTCAAGGTCACCCAGCTGTGTAAACAATGACTCATCGGTGTTAAATTTCACAGAAAGGAGAAACAAAGGAAAATAAAATTTGAAGGTTTTTCTTCAAAATTATCGCATTTCTTTCGTTTTTTTTTGGTTTTAAGTATTTTTAATGTATTTTAATATTAATCTTATATCAATTTAATTAATGATCGGGAATGAAGGAGTTAAAGAAATGTTTTTAAATTTGACAGCTAAGCAGCCTAAAAAGACAGGTCAAGTTGTCAATTGTTTGTATTCTAGATCAAAAATAAGAAGTGAATAAATGGTGATTACCAATTTCAGACAGACTACGTCTTCAAATTAATTTTCAATTTAGAACAATTTGTTTTTGTAAATAAATTTCATTTTATTTAACTTTATTTCATAAGTTAATTCAAAATATTAAAATTTAGAGATTTTGTTTGCCTATTATTCCTCAACTCCCTAAATTATAAAACCCTGACCTTGATCTTTTAGGATCAAGGTCAGAGTTGTATAATTTAGTTGTTAATATGAATTTTCAATAAAGCAAATTAACCACTGTTCCCTTAGCAATTCATATTAATGCGAGTTGACTGTATATTAATAATTAAATTCATGTTAAGGAAAACACACATTAAATGGCTAAAAACATAAATAAAAACAGGTATTTAAATAGGTTTTGTAGTTTCAGAAATTTATAATAAAAAAAAAAAAAAGAAAGCTGTATTTAGCAACTTGGTGGACTAAAATTGTAATTTAAAATACTTTGCTAAAATGACTAGTAATTTTTTTTTTAATCTGACCTTGCTATAATATTCCCAACTAGTTTAATTTGTAAAATTTTTAATTTTTATTTTCTAAAGAAAATATTTATCTGTTTTGCACTTTGTATTTATAATTTATTACTTATGCCTACGAATTTACTGCTAATAATGACTTCTTGTATTTGTTTAATATTTATTGTGAAATTAACAATGCTTATGATTTGTGTGTTTACTTTATTTAATTTTTGTTTTGCCTATACAAAAGGAAATATAATTTGTACTATTAAATAAATGAAAAGATGTTGGGTTTATTTATGTTTCTTTTAGTTAAACTTCTTTCAAATTAAATAATAAATTAAACAACTTATTCTGTAATTCAAAAACTTTTTAAGATAAATGCTTTAAATATGTAAAAATAACACTCAAACCAAAACTTAAAAATTTAGAACAGCTTAAACAAGTTGAAATTTACTATTTTTTTCTATTTTTACTATTATTTAGTGAATTTTACTATCACTGAAATTTACTATTATAAAATTTACTATACCATATATTGTCAATCCCTTTATGTTTGAATCTAAAATACTTCTGCTGAAGAAGAGTTTAATTTCCATTGTTATATGAATTTTATATGTATTTTACGATTTTCAAATTGATAACACTCTCCCTTATTTAATTTGTCAACTATAAACTCTTCTTTACTATATTTAAATATTAAATAAAAAGATATCTTTATAATTATTGTAAATGTACAATTTGCTGTACTTACGTAGCTGGAATATCATTAACTTGATCTGAATTTAATACTACATTTGGATTACAATTTTCCTCTGTTATTGGATTCTAAAAGCAAATAAAAATTTAAATTATTACAAAATAAAAAATTTTTACTCAACCATTTTTTGAATATATAAATCCACTAAAATAAATTTTAAAATCACAGAGTACAAATTTCAAATTTAAAACTTGTCATCTTACAATGAAAGATTTAACTTTCAAATAATCTTTTAATAATAAATAATGAAATAGTAGATATGTCATACTAACCTTGTATAGCTTTGCAGTTACTACTGAAATTTAAAAAAATAAATTCTGAAGATAGAACGGTCAAAAATCATTAGCAAAAGCATTAGAGACCTGAACGGTCAAAAATCGGAATTGCACCAGAAAAACTTGTAAAACACCTGAGGAAGACCCTAGAAGTGGGTCAAAAACATTTGTGTTACATTTTTAAATAGTAACTGCAAAGCTATACAAGGTTAGTACAACATATCTGTAATTATCACTTTGTTTACTGGATGGATTTGAGTGAAATAGTATTCAAATATTATCAATCAATACTTATTGGCTATCCAATAAAGCAGAATATTTTCATATGGGTATTTTACTATTATTCTTTTAATTTTCATCAAGAAATCTCAATGTGTAATTGTAGAATGTAATTCTGCAATATCTTGCCACTGTCACTTAAAAAATTAGGACAAATTTGGCACTGAAAAGTATTATGATATTTCCTCAATTCTAAAATGAAATATGCATTTGGAATAAAAATTTTAAACTTTTCTTATGGAGGGAAAAGTTTTTAAATAAATAATTTTAAGTTTAGTTAANTTGGCTATCCAATAAAGCAGAATATTTTCATATGGGTATTTTACTATTATTCTTTTAATTTTCATCAAGAAATCTCAATGTGTAATTGTAGAATGTAATTCTGCAATATCTTGCCACTGTCACTTAAAAAATTAGGACAAATTTGGCACTGAAAAGTATTATGATATTTCCTCAATTCTAAAATGAAAAGATTATTTTAAAATATTTCCTTTTTATAAAAAAAAAAAAAACAGGAAATATTTTTAAATAATCAATTTTATTAAATCTTGTTAAATAGTAATAATTTATAAAAATAATACAAATCAAAAACCTGAAATCACATACCACACTACTCATGACTGCTGATTGCTATTTTAAAATTGTAAATGTAAGACACATCTTTATTTCAAACAAGTAGAAATTGGTATATAATAATAATAATTTTAATTTTAAAGCACATCTTAGAATCAAGGAGACAAGGTATATTATGATACTAATGAGAATGTGACTAATCTTAATTAGTGTCATGAGTAAGAAATTTAAATGCAAATAAAACTTTGTTAGTACATTTAGTAACATGGAAAATAATAACTATTTTTCAAATGAAATAGTTTTAGTAATGCATTATATAAATGACAATCTAACTTTAAATTGATTAATAAAACTAATCAAGGTTGAATAGTTTTAAATTTACATTAAGATTCAATAAAACCAAATTGTTAAATAAATCAAATATATCTTATATTAAACTTACATTTTGTTGTAAATCATCATATATTTCTGTATCATTTGGAAGATTATCATTTAATATTTGTGTTATATCTTCAAGTGATAAGTTGTTCAGTCTATAAAAATATGATAATTAGAACATTTGTAATTATATTCTAAATCATTGCTTATTATGAAAAACAAATTGAAAAGACTTTTTATTTTAGAAACAACTGACTCCCATAAAGTCATCTTCAACTTAAATACATTACAAAACAATAAATGAAACAAAAATTTTAAATGTAAGGAACAGGCACTTTGGAATTTGAAATACATCATCCTAAATAAATGAATATAAAATCATTAATATGAACTTACAATTTATATGCATATAATTAAAATGTAAATGAATAGCAATTATAATCCAATAGAAATACCATTTTATTAGTCCATACTTCATAAAAGCAGAATGCAGTGATTAGTATATTGTTGTCTTTCTATAAAGTAGTGAATAGACAACAAAATAATTTGCTTATATACAGACAAATCATAAGCTCACATATTTCTTAAGAAAAACTCAAGAGTTCAGTAGCCCAGGCCACCCCCTAGTGTGTGTATAAATCAGGACTTCTTAAACTATGGGTTGCAACCCCAAATAGGGTCGTGAGATTTTAATGCAAAATATTGAAAATAATTTGTGAAAGTTTGAAAATGGCATGCTTTGTGTCATAGGATTCGTGAATTGTGCTTTGTGTCACTTCTGGTGCAGCGAGACAATGATTCAGCAACACTGATTGTTGTGTGAAATAGTGTAGTGTTGTTGCTTTTCAGTGTATTCAGTTGTCTATGTTCCACTGTAACACAAGAGTGAACTGTGGTAGTACACCATTATTGTTTTTGCAAATTTGTAAATATCTTTATTTTATATTTTTTGGGTTGTGAAAAAAATCACATTCATAAATGGGGTTGTGAATAAAAAATGTTTAAGAAGCCCTGGTATAAATAATAAATTCATATCAATGGGGAATGTTTTCCCTTCCCTTGGGAGGAATTCCCCTCCATGGGGAAGAGGATTAAGGATTACCCCTCCCTCATGGAGGAGGATAATCCTTAACCCTCTCATATGGAAAAGGCATTCTAGCACAGTGTTTTTCAACCTGTGGGTCGCGACCCCCAATGGGGTTGCAAAGCCTTACACAGGGGGTCGCGGGTAAAAAAAAAGACAAGTGTTTGTAGGTCCTACACTACAATAAAAAACCTACAATTTCGTTGAGAAGGCTGGGCCTGTTTATTTTACAGTACAATTGGATTTTTGATTGATATTTAGGTCTCAACAGAAAGAGAATCAAAGATGTAGTTTTTAAAATCACTAATATAGTTTTAATATGGCCTTGGGAGGTCAGCAAAATTTTTTAACTTGTAAAGGGGTCGCGTATTCAAGAAGGTTGAAAAACACTGTTCTAGCAGCAGCAGTGTCATTCCGTAGTATTAATAATAAATTCATATCAATAATAAATTCCTATTACAAATAATAATAATTTATTGTTAATTTAAAATCATTGCTAGGGCACCCCTGGTGGGTGTTTTAGGCATAATGTTACAGATATACTGATATGTGATCAATGACTTATATTATTAGATATATATACATATACATACATACACCGCGGGTGATCACAGTTAACGAACATAATCCATTCCAAGACTTTATTGTAAAACGAGAAGGCACTGAGGTCAGCGTTATGTGTGCGTTTTTCTTTAATCGCTAGTACTTTTGACGAACTTATAGTCGTCGTCATCAGGCAAATTACCGAAAGAATTAAACAGAAATAATCCGATTTGGAATAGAACGCTTAAATTTAAGATTAAACTTTAGTCAAAGTCGTTAGGAACATGATAGAAATATTCAAAAATGTTCGAAAAACGAACGAGCAGAAAGCTCCATGATGTGCGATTACGCGCATGCACAGATCTAGACATATACATTCTGGAGAATGCTAATTATTACTTAATTGCTTGTATAGTGTGACCCATACACTGGGCAGCTCAAGAGTTGGAATGTTGCACGTGTCCAAGGTAGTAGTAAGAAGAGACTCCCATATGAAAACGATTATTCGATCCTTACAGCTCTTGAGCATAACCGCTTGGGACCATAGTGAGTTGTAACCCTGCTCAAGTACTTTTCTTGCGAGCTCGGTGGTGTGTCTACCCCTCGCAACATCGTTTTGGTGCTCTTCTAGTCGGCTGGCAAGCATTCTAGTAGTGGCCCCGACATATCTTGCATTTACTCCCGTTGTAAGGTTTTCCAGAGGTACAGCATAGACCCCCGACTTCTCAAGCGTGGAAAATTTGTCCCTATCATTACAAATGAGTTTGCGTAGGTTTGGAAGTGGGGTTAGTGGTAGTATAAGGCCGTGCTGCTTAAAGATTCTGCAGATACGTATAGAGAGGGGTCCCAGGTATGGCAACGATGTTTGTACCATTGAAAATTCTCTTTTGCTGCATAATGTGGTACTTGGAAACAGTGATTTCTTTACCATATTGAGCACGTGCGTAAATTTTGCACGTGAAAAGCCAGCAGTGCGTACCCCCAAACTTATGTTGTCTAACTCCATGTTTACCAGCTCTTGCGAAGATGATAGTAAGTAAGCCCTTCTAACGAGAGCGGCAATGGCAGCATTGACATATCGAGAAGGCTGAAAGGCCTCTGCTGGTATAATGTGTGGAGCTATGCTGGACTTGTGATGAACCGAGAATTGTAGTCCTTCCGAAGATTTACATATGTGCAGGTCTAAGAACATTATTGCTGCATCGCTTTCTTTCTCCCAAGAGAAATTGATGGAAGGATATATGCTTGACAGTTGCTGCATAAAGATGAGGAACATCTCATCTGTGTCTACCCACGCTATGAGGATGTCGTCAACGTAACGCAAATACAGCCTCGGATAGTGGATGGCAAGCGGGGAATTGAATGTTCTGTGCTCGATCTCTCTCATAATAAGTTCTGCTAGGATAGCAGATAAAGGGGAGCCCATAGGAACCCCTTGCTTTTGTAAATAGATTTTCTGGTTGAAACGGAAGTAATTACACTCGGTGACAAAGTTGAGCGCATCTCATAAATCAAGCACCTGTTGGATGTTAAAGCCCTTTCTTAGAAGTAGAGAATTAGCCAGCATTACTGCCTCAAATGTTGGTACTGAGGGATATAAAGATACTACATCCAGCTTGTAAAAGGTGTAGGCGTCTGGCCGTAGTGTACCAATACTTGAAGTGATGGTGGATTTAGCAATTACAGAAGAGGGAGTAACATATGGAGAATTTGGAACTAATGCGCGAAGGAATTTAGCAAGCACTTTTTCTAAATAATAGGTTGGGTGAGACCGTTTGTTTACTAGCGGACGTAACAGCCAGTTTGTCTTATGGGTTTTTGGTTGAAAGAACAACCTAGGACACGTAACATTAGAGGGGGGATCGAGCGACCCAGTTAGGGTTGAGGAAATACCTGGTAAGGTGATGATTCTTCTTGCCTTTCTTAATACCGTCGGAGTAGGGTCCTCACTCATTTCCGAGGAATGCGACTGTGTTAAAAATTCATTGGCCTTGATGAGAAAGTCATTCTCTCTGCACAGCACAAACCTCCAGTCCTTGTCAGAGACTAGAAGTCTCAAGTTGGTTCTGGCAAGGAAGTGTTCTACTGTTCGCACACATAACGCTGACCTCAGTGCCTTCTCTTTTTACAATATAGTATTTTGGCGTGATCATCAGCATATTGATCATTCCAAGACTACAAGACTATGTTCGTTATCCAAATTGTTCGTTAACAGATTGATTTACTATAGATTTTTGTAGGAATTTGATTAATTCATTCTGGAGATTCCAAAAAATAAAAATATTATATACTTTCTTACTATGTTTATTTACATGTATTAAACTAAAAGCAATCTTTCCATTTTTTCATGGATGGCACATCTCTTTTTCAGATGTGCCTTTTGTTACTCATTTGTCTGAGGTCTTTGATTGGGTCTTTTTGATTATATCTTTCTTAGCTAAGATTGCACCTACTGTAGACCAGTTGAAGTCATATTGCCTAGCATCATCAGACATCATCTGTCCATTCTCTACCTTGCCTATTATCTCTTGCTTAGTCTCTATAGTAAACACAGTTCTTTACACTCCACTCTTTAGGCCCCATAATATTATCAGTTTTTTAAATAAAAAGTTCAGAAAAGCACTTAAAAAATTCAGAGAACAGAAATCAACCAGTGCAAAAAAGGGTTATGCATACAACTATGAAAGTCTCATTCCATAAACCATTCAGAGATGCCATTAAAATATAGTTTATAAATCTTAAACGCAGTGTCGCTTCTTCTTGGGTTTGTTCTGTCAGGTTTTCATTATCCAAACATGTGTTTTTTGTCCAAACATAAAAATATTTCACAAAAGTTTTCATTGTCCGATTTGTTTGCCATCTAAACTATTTGTTAACCATAAATATGCTGCACTAACCTTATAATGCTTTGCAGTTATTTTGGCACATAACACTGTAAGGAACCAAGTCTGAGCTTTATTTTTATTTTACTTTTATTTTGCTTTCATTATATTTTGTTTGGGGCTTATGTTTAGTTAAGACGAAGGTTTCCTCACCATTCACCTTAGTAACTTAAAACTAGAAGAAAAACCAACTCACCGACGAAAGAAAAGCGCCGTAGAAAAACTCGCGCACACTTGCGCTTCCCAAGTGGAAAAAAGTAAGTCCGCACCGAGAAAAAGGGGGGAAGACCCCACAACCCAGTTAGGAATCGCTAAACCTTAAAAGAATAAAGCATCCCGATAATTGTTAAAAAGAATAATGTAAAAGGTTAGCGAAGTATTGTCGGAAAATAATCTGCCAGATAAACAAGAAAAATTTAATGTTACAGATAAGTATGTAAATGAGGAGAGTGAGCTCATTCAGAATTGTGACGTCACCTCACACTATAAAGCCTCTAACTCAAGTGAAAACGAACGAGGTGAATTCCTGATAGCAACGAGCTTTGGTGAGCTTCGTAGCAGTGAACGAGAGAGGTGTCCGATAGGATTTTGAAGTTATTCGATTTGTGGATCGACGATTATAGAAAGTCTTGAGAGTTTGAGGAAATAGGTTCCTAGTATATTGAGGTGACGATTAGGATCTTTAATTTATAAGAATTATTGTTTATAAGTTAATTCTTTGATTTTGTCGAATTCCAAAGGGGAATAGAATTAAGTTAGAAATAGATTGATTTGAGTTTGTCGGATTGATTCTTGTTGAATTTCATTGAATAAATTATTGTTTGAATTTTACTAAATACTGTATATAGTTTATTACTAGAAGTTTAATTAAATATTTGATTTTGTTATTGACAAACTTTGTCATTATTTAATTCGGTGCACGCTTAAAGTCCAGGCCTGGCACACTAACGCGAATCCGCGTAAAGTACCCGTTAGGGAACGGCTATTTCCGGCACACAGTAGTGTCGATAATCGTTGGAAAGTCGGAAAAATAATATAGTACTTTACAACACAAATGGTCTCAGTCCACCCTTCAACCTTCTTCAGGTGGACCAAAACCATTTGTGTTATGTTCCAAAATAACTGCAAAGCATTATAAGGTTAGTGCAGCATATTTATGTTTAACACTTTGTTTATTGGATGGATTTTATTCATTAACCAATCATATACTGTATAGAAAACATGAAAAGTATAAGAAATGCCTGTAAGAAAATGAATTGTCTAATTTATCTATTGGATTAATTCTTAATCCTTATAGACAGATAATTTTCTTTTTCTCCCATAAAATTTAATAAATTTTCATTATAGATGTAATGTAGAATTAGTCAGATGAAGAATTATTTTAAGAACCTTAAACCTATAATACAGGTATACCTCGCCTTACGTCAGTAATTGGTTCCAGGAGAGGCAACATAAGTCAAATTTGCTTGTCTCCGAATCTACTTGTCACTAGGCTAAACCATACATTACCATTCCCGGTTCTGTATTTTATTTATTAATGCATTTTTAATAATATATGGTTAATAAGGATCTATTCTAAGCTTACAAATAAATAAATTTTAGTTTTTAATAGAGTACGGAAAAAAGTCATCTAAATTTACGAATGCATTTACTGTAAATACAGTACATACTTGTAAATGTATATATTTTAATATGATTTTATGTGCTTTAAATGCTTTTCAAGTGATATTACGACTTCAATATTTGTGGCGGACAGATGTAAAGTCGAATAAAATGACAAACTTGATTTTTATTTTTCCATATACTTTTTTGACAAACGATGTATAATCAGGAATGACATAAGTCAAGGTATACCTGTACTTCTATATTATAAATGTAAGTTATTCTCAATAAATACCAATTAATTTTTTTACATGTGTAGTGTGTCCATTTAAACATCTGTTCAGGGACAAAAGAGATCTTTCCAGCATAGCATGAGAGTACACATGTGATGCATGCTTGTTCCAGCAATAAAATAATCAAAGGGAATAAATTTAAGACAACTTAGCATAACAAAAATCTCTAATTGTAAAGGATAAAGACAATATTACAGAAAACAGGATAAAAAAAAAAGCTTTTTTCGTTAGAGAACATATTCAAGATAACTGCCTTAAGCAGCAATAATAACAAGGAGATGGCCAGACATTCCAGTCTCCAATTCAAACAAAACTTGGTGAGGATGTAGTCCTAAACACAAACTTGTCCAAATAATATGATCACCTTTTCAAGTGTTTCCAAAAAATAGGTCTCTGAAAATTGAGTGATTAACTTATAAGTCTGGAAGTTCCACAACTCATAACAGGAATAGCTGAGTGAATAAAGGTGATAGGCACCAGAACTACAGGTTATGTATGGGTTTAGTCCATTTTAATTTTATTTGTTTTTTAATGTAATATAATTATTTTATTATTTTACTGTATCATAGTCACAGCTTTTTTTTAACCTGTTAAATGTTATGGACAATTCTTTCATGTGCTCATGTTTGTTACACTTCAAATATAACAACAAATTCAACAATACCATCATATCTGAAAATAAATATAAAGAAATAAAAATTTTATTTAATGTCGTAAAAGAGTTAAATCTACAGACACTTCTTTTTTTGCTAAACAGGAAATGACATAAAATAATATTAAAAATTCTTGATAAGTTTTAAACACGAGGAATAATAATGCTAATAATCCAATAAAATAATAAAATAATTATGTTACATGTTAAAAAAATAAAACTGCAAAGAATCAAACTCATATCCTGTAATTCCAATGACTAGCACCTTGTGCACTCTACTATCCCTGTTCCAAGGAAGAGACATGGAACTTCCAGACTTATAACTTAATCACTCAATTTTCAGATGTCCATTTTTTTGGAAATGCTTGAGAAATAAGTCCTCTTATTTGGACAAGGAACGGTGTGTTATATGGCTACATGCTCATCAAGTTTTGTTCAAATCAGAGACCCAAATGTCTGGCCCTCTCCTTGTAAGATGTAGACCAGTGTTTCTCAACGGGGGCGATATCGCCCCCATGTGGGCGTTTTTCCATGTTGAGGGGGCGATTAGTAACAATTTATATTTTGGGGGAACAAAAAACAATTTTCTGGGCGATATAGTAAATCATTATAGTAAGAATAATTAGATATTTTATTTGTTATATTGTACAATAATTAAATAAATAACATTATACTAGTCACTAGTCTATTCAATGCAGTACGAATTTGGCATTAGCCTTGGCCCTCGGTGTCGGAATTTTGAAGTGAAGGGGGCGATACTACCTAATGGTTCTATTGAAGGGGGAGACGATTCGTTGGAGATTGAGAAACACTGATGTAGACAACCAAGCACAGCATGTTGGATGACACTTAGCATTCCTAGTTTCACAAGCCTTTTATATGCATATGTCTACAGTTTGCCAACATCCTATGGCACTTCTGAATATGCATCATATACAAATGTTTTTAGGTGACTCAACAAGAAAAAATATAGAGAGGTAAAATCTGGGAAACATAATGACCATGAAACAAGGTAATGTTGTCCTATCCAGCAATTGACATGCATCTGTCCAGGAATGAGGTTACTACACCATGATGGTACTAAACCCACTGTAGTTGTATCAATGGCAAATCATCTACTGTCAGATGTTCAAATATCAATCACTATTCAAGGTGCCATCAATGAATACAGGACCAAAAAGCTGCTCACTCCAAATTTTCCACCAAATATTTAGATTAAAATGCACTTGGTGTCATGCATTTTGCATGCAAAGTGGAGTGCACACAACCCAGTAATGCACATTGTGACAGTTATACACTTCTTTCCAGAAAAATAGTACATAAAGTTAGTCCATAAAATGTGCTGAAAGACTTGTAGTTTGTCATGCTGTAAATTTATCATGTTGAAAGTCAAATCACTGTGTAGCATCCTCTGCATATTGTGCTGCTGCTATTATCCTGTAGAATGGGTACATCATGAAAATGGAATATCCAGTATATTTGCATCCATTTCAATCCACAGCCTTAGGTAATCAATGCTGGAAAGATCTCTCTTTCCTCTGGATAATGTTTAAGAGCATTCTGTATACAGAACAATGCAATTACTGATAAATGTTACTCACCTATTTGAAGAATCTACATCTGTCCACAAACATCCAAAATTTCCTTCAGATAAAAAAAAATTTTCATCTGCTGAATCCATTTTTAGAGAACTAAAATATAAATAAGGAAATAAAACTAACTCAAAACACTTTTTGGCATAAACATTTTCATTCTACGTTAGAAAGTTACAATTTTATATAAATAACACATTATTTACAGCCGGCAAAGCCAAAAAGACAATTATCACATCATTTTTGGTGAATCACAAATGATAAATCCTGTTAAAATGCAATAAAAATTTGTTTCAATAGAAATAATTCTGTATTTTCCATGCAGAAATCTTAACTATCATTATGATTTGTCAGTGTTGTGCTATATGGAATAATGTATTGTTATCCTTGTTTCTGATTGTGACAGAAAAAAGAACATGTGCAGATATCATATGAGATGGAACATGATATTTGTATCATATCTAGGTTATGCTATTAGTTTTAGAAATTGCTTTGTTATAGCCTAAACAATTTATTTTACTCAAAAGTGTTCTCAGTGACCCCAATAGATGAAATTTTTTTATTATATTGTGGCAACTATGGACTGATTCCAAAGTGCATTTTACAGAATCATTCATCTTTCCTAAGATGTTTATGCTCATGATTTCCATAATATTCAACACATCAAGAGATGTTAGTACATATCATCAGATATAAGAAAGTAGCAGCTCTTACTAAGGAAAATGTATACTCAGCATACCTATGTTCTGTTGGATTTATCATCCTCTGCTATTCTGAACAGTTGGCCAAAATGCATTCAATCACAATCTGCTGAATTATATTAAGCTACAATATGGCTACTATTAATAATTACGTAATATGTAATTTTGCCTAGAGGTAAACAGTTATGCAGCCATCTCTTGATAAATTAAATAATTAAATTTTTAATTTAGAATTTTCTGGAAGAAAAGCCTTGGCATTGAGCTGGACTCAAACCCATAATTCCCACTTACTGTGCAGATGCAAGTAGTCAGGAATTGTGTTATCCAAACCTCCGTCTGATATTCATCTCCAGAACTATTAACTGTTTATATGTGTGTGTATATTTGTGCATACATACATACTATATATATATATACACACACACACAGTAACACCCGAGTTACATAAGTAATAGGGACCATAAATCTTTATGTAACTCAAATTTTACAGAGTCTAATTTGTAAATTGCTTAAGTGTAACTGCATAATTAATAACTCAATACTATGACAGCCATTAACAAACCTTTAAATCTGATAACAAATAAAATTTAATAAAATATCCAACAAACAACTTTACCAAAGGTCTGCTTCAGATTTGAGAACAAACCATATTCCAGAATCAGAATGATTAGAACAGAATGTTTTTAAAACATTAATTTTAAACATTTGGAACATAGCACAAACAACAGAAACTTAACAGTAGCAAATATGTGAATTCAACATATTTGCCACTGTTCAACATAAGGCAACCCATATGTATTGTACATATTATAGCTGGCATAATAGATACCAAGCCAGTTTACAAAAGGTCCTAATTGATATATACAAAATGCAAAGGACAAATCTGATGATCTTAGAACCCCAGGTGTTTAGAGTGTTCTGGTGATGGACAACAGGTTTCAGAGAGATTTGGTGTACTGTACATTGGTTCCACCAAACGTTCCATTCAAAAAAAGGTATGGGAATACAAGGGGTATCAACAAAAGGCACACCACCAACCCGAAAGTGTATGCTGACCTACCTAACACCAGACTAATAGAACAGTCTTTTCATATTAACCATATTAGGGCCTGGAGGTCCTAGAAATATACAAAGCCTGACAGGCAAGTGCATCAATTTTAAGGACGGTAATACATTATCATATGCCTGGCAATACTTGTGTGAGGAACCTGGCAATGATAACGCAAATTGACTTTATATTATTTGTTCTTAGACTAGATCCTCAAATAATATATACATACTAGCAGGTAAGCCTGGTGCTTCCTGGGCAAAAAATAAAAACAAACATTAAGATTAGCTAATTTCATATGTCTAATCCTTCTATTGTATTATATTGTAAAATTTGATTTACATAACTATAAAGGTTATCTTACATAACTAATTTTATCCGTTTTCACCAGGTGCAAGAATTAGATCCTCCTTCTTCCAAGGCTAAATAGAGAATTATTAGATGGGTCTAAAAATATATTTGATTTCCTGCAAAAAATACAAAAAAAAAAAATCTAAAATAGTACAGTAGAAGCAGAGTTCTTCAGGGTAAGCTTTAACCCTCTCCCCCTCCCCACAAGGGGAATTTCCAAAAATTCTTTCTTAGTGTGCATTCTCATGGGTGTACCAAATTTCAACTTTCAATTCCTAACTGTTTGGGCTCTCTGCTTATTATCATCATTAACCCATCTTGATTATTATTATAAGATGGGTTGCCTTATATATATATATAATGTTAAATTCACTTATTTGCCACTGTTAAGTTTCTATTTGTGTTATATGTTCCAAATGTTTAAAATTAATGTTTTAAAAACGTTCTGTTCTAACCATTCTGATTTTAGAATTTGGTTGGTTCTCAAACATGAAGCAGATCTTGGGTAAGGTCAAAATCGTTTATAGATGTTTTATAAAATGTTTTCTGTTACTGGATTTAAAGGTTTGTTAATGGTTGTCATTAGTTCCAGTAATTGAGTTAGAAGATATCTACAATACTGTACATATATTATTTATGATTTTTTTGTATAAAAGAATTGTTTATGAGAAAGAGTGCCTGATATACTTGCGTACATGTTTACAATTAAATCAAAAAGCAAAAGATTAGCAGAGCAATACAGTAATAAATCAACACAGTGCAAAAGAAAGGAAGAGAGAGAATAAATATTTGAAATAGAGTAATTCTTTGTTAAATTACATATTGTTCTACTCAGATTTTTTTCCAATTTTTGAGATATACAGTGGTGCCTCGTACTTAATCCATTCCAGGTGCACGTCCATTAAGTGAAAAGTCTGTTATATGAAATGCATTTTCCCATAGAAATACATGTTAAAACATATAATTCATTCCGCAGCATAAAATAACCGCACTGTACCATAAAAAATGAAAATGGAGCAGTCACCAATTATTCCGGGTAGTCAGATGTGAGGAGGAGGTGGAGGAACACTTTCTTCACACATTCATACAGATACAGACTTTTTACACATTGCAGCGGGTCTTTTTTTATTGTTTTTTAATTGGATTCAGATTCAGGAGAGGCTACCGGAGCTTGCAGGGTCATCTCCTCTTGTTCCATCCTTTGTTTTTTCCCTGCTGGCTTCTTGAAAAACATGTCCAAGGTGGTCTATTTCTCTCTCTTCAACACCTGTCAGAAATGATGGGCAAAGGTGTCATTGTAGATATCATTGATCCTGTTGGCCTCAGCTCTGGATAATGAGTGTTGGTAAACTCCTGAACCTCTCCCCATTTGACAAGGAAGTTTTTGTCAACTTTCACTCCTGATGATTTCTTGCTTTGTTTCAATTGAAATCACCTTTCTGCTTTTTTAGAAGCCATGATTTGCACAACACTTGAACATATGTAAATACCTGCACTGAGGTGATGTACATAATAAACAAGGGAGCGAGCCGAATCCCAACAGGAGCTCTGTTCTTCAGATATACTAATAATATATTCTAATAATACTAATATACAGTAGAGCGTCGTTTATCTGAAGGTTGGTTATCCAAAACATCGGTTATCCGAAGGAATTCCAGTTGACAAATTTAAATTTTCACCAGAGCTGTGGCGCTGTAATCTTTGGCTATGTCTTCGGCTACTCAAATATTTTACTTTTTTGATACTAAATTAACTTCTGAAGTATAATTTTTTATTGTTTTCATATTTTTCAATATATTTATTTTCTTTGTACAAAATTAAAAAATAATTTTTAACGATACAATAGTCTTCGTTAGGCTTAACATCAACGAAAATTCAACACGAAGCGACATGCAACTAAGAAAAATTTCAACACGGGATAAATTAATGTATTTTTTCATACATAATTGGTTATCCGAACAACCCCAGTCCCCAATTGATTCGGATAAACGACGCTCTACTGTATTATAAAAATAGCAGATTGTCATTGGCAACGGCAAAAGAGTGGAAACATCATTCGCACTTGTTCTCAGAAAGACCGTTGTTCGCATCACGTAACTGCTAAACGGAAAGTCCGTTGTTCGAGTCACATAACGGCCAAACAAAGTCCGTTGTTCGCAGCATCTGTTATTCGAGGCGTACGTTATGCGAGGCACCACTGTACATTTTACATAACTGCGAATTTATGCAAGTTGCTTGTTATATAACTCAAGTTATTACGGTATATGTTACCGCTAAAGCTCGAAACTCGTTAATTAATGTGTACATTACCTAGCTAATCTGCAGATTAACTAGGATGATCCATTAAAGTTGCTAAAATTGTTCTATTTCTCAAATTACCTAGGTAATGTGCAGATTATCTAGGTAATCTGCAAATTACCTACTAGGCACTCAGTAAAGTGAAAATAAGATCTTTGCTGAAACAACAGCAATGTTTCTGTACACTTAAATTAACATAATGTTCTTTATTTAATTTTCGATATCTAAAGAATCGAGTTAATACAATCAAACAATCGACAAATTAGTTGATAAAATCAATCATCAACCAATTAAAAAACATACAAAAAATCGATTTAAAATATTAATACAATTAGGGAAATTATTATATAGATAACCACCTATGGAATTTCGGGACTGAGTATCTATCTGAACAGGGGGACCGAGACGACTTCAACAATACCCTACTTTTGGACCGGAGACAAAAAATAATAAAGTTATCATATTTTTTCTGGTAATCACATGATATAATTGTGCAGTTAATGTTACCTATGGTGAGTAAAATAACGGCTCATCTCTGATTCCAGCAAACAGAAGAAAGGAAACAGTGGGGACGCACGTTCTGTCCTAACCTAACCTATTTTAATAAATTACCATGATTGGTGACACTTTGAATTTCATAGCAATTGGTTTCTGCGACAAGCACACCTATTTGTGGTACAGTACATTTATTTGTGGCAAAG